TGAGTTTGAGACCCCTGCAATAGACTGAAGGCGCTCTTAAAATGGCTGTATTAATGTGGTCTTGTGAGTGACAACACTGGTTTCTTTAAGTGATTATTTGAGATATGGTTCTGTTTTGCTGCTGCTCCTAATGTTCTGTTACCAAAGAGATTTTTAATTTCCAAGTTTGTTCAATTTGTCTTATTTTTTGTGTGTGGTACAGAAGCTTTCCGAGCACCCATGTTTCGAAATGGACCTGACAAAAATGGCTTCTCTCTTGGATGCAGCAAAAACCTACGGGAGGTTTTTGGAGATGAGAAAAAATACTGGTTGTTACCTATTTTTACAAGGTATTATTTAAATTATAGGTGCCTGTTTTTAAAAGTTCTTAGACTAACATCTAGAGTTTTGTGAGGTTAGCAAACAGTTGACTAAAATTCACAAACCATGGTAAAATTTCTAAAAGACTCCTAAAATTGTAACTAGCATATCTCCTGAACGATGATCATATCGAAGTGCAAATTTAGTTGATAGCCTGTCTGCTTAGAATGAAATTATGCCATGTGTCTGTGTGTAATGGTGACAAAGATGAGAGATTCATCCTTGGCATGTATTAATTATTTGCTTATTAGCAAAAATCACATGCTGGTTCTCACTTGAAACAGATCATGAAGCAATTCACAAAGGATGAAAACAAAACTGCACATGCACATAGGTACAAAAATAGTATCATGAGGATGGTATAAAGGTAGCTGATGGCTATAGAAAACCAAGGTAAACAAATACATTCAATAAATGTCCAAAACATGAGGGTATTGCACTTGAGAGGGGGAAATATTTTAGAAGTATGGCATAGCAGTGTGTGTGGAATCTTGTTTGGTGTGGAAATCCATCAGATTATTTCAGCTTGGCTCCCTGGATTCCAACGTACTTTCTGCATGCCCTAAGTCCAACTTGCACCAAGTCTTCCTTGTTCCATCAGGAAGCAAATTCAGATTTTATGCAAGTATTACTAGCAAAACTGGCTTGTTTACATATTCCACGCTGCCTGCATGCCTTTTGCGCAAGTGGAGTTCTGTTGCATCTTTTCTTGTTTGGAAACAAACTAAATTTGACTCCCATGACACAGTGTGGCAGACTACCAACTTTTGAAGGTATGCGCCTATGCTTTGCACAGCACCATGTAGAGTTCCCCATGAGATACGTAGTTCTGGAAGGTGAAAATGGCCCTTAGACCTCCCACAAATCCTCATCCCTACTTTAGCTTTGGACCCAAATATCTGAAAGAACATCTTCTCCAATACAGTTCATAAGCCCAAAGTGCTTTGAGGCTTCTTTCAGAGTGCATTCCTTCATGGAAGTCCATTATACATAAACTAAGGAGAGGGCCTTTAGTAGAAAGTATGACTGACACTATGATCTTCTTGGCCCCAAGATAGCATGTTCATATTTGTCTTGGCATTGCTGGGTGCTGATGTCTTGAACTGGGCTTAAGTGTTATAGTCTTTCACTGCTTCTTGGTCTGCAATTTTTATACTGCTGTTTTATTGTATTAATATTTTGCTTGGATAATTGTGTTTATTATGTGAACATTGCCTTGGAACCCATGGTGAAGGGCAATTTATTAATATTCTGAATAAGTAAGTAACATAAAAGACAACTTATTAAACTTAAAGCAGCACAACTAACTATTTGTATGACTTAACTCGTAGTTGGTTACATTTGGTTCAAAGCTGTGGATCTTTCAGATCCCTTGGGCAACTGTTCTTTTACAAAAAGGTGGCATTATGGTAAGCCTCACATGACTAACATTCCCAGCATGTAGCCCACACACACTGAAGCAAGTAATATTCTAGTTACACTGTAAAGGCTATCATCCTAGGTTGATATTGTGCTGTTACCATAATGGACAAATGGAAATAATATTCTGTTAAGAAATGTAAGAAATTTCAAAGAGGTGTACATCCTTTTAAAATGCCAGCATACTAGACTAGCAGTTTACTTAACCAAGTATAATTTCTTAGGGATTTAAGAAAAACAACAGGAAATTGATTCCCTTGTTAAGTGCAGGCAGAGATATTTAAAAAACACTGCATTGGACTTTGGAATTAAACAGGCTGCATGCAATTTACTGATAAAAGTGCAGGGCATGCAGTCCAAACTTTATTAGGATTTGAAGGGCAGTATTACCTAGTCCTAGACCGTCTATAAACTTCAGCTTGTGCATTCTACATGATCTAAGTGGAGCTGTGAGCTTTTCACATACAAGTGTGTTATTAAACAAGTTTGTGTTTGGCTTGTGTGCTGTCTGTAAAAATTATATTCAGATAAAGTTGTTTGCTTCCTCAAATTTGTAGTGTAGTCTTCAGTGCTGAAAAAGGGATTTACCTTCTGCTGTGCAACCCATTACTGTACTTTTATGAACTTAGCAGGGCAATGTTTTATTTGTTTGTTTGGTTTTTTTATGCATTGGTATGCCACCCTATACTCCAAGTTGAATCTATGGATTTGAGTGTGCTATGTCCTTTTCTCCCACATTGTATAATTTTTTAAAACCCACTTGTAACATTAGTGTTAGGTTTTAATAGTTAACATGTTAATGAAATATTAAAGATGTCATATTTGTTTTATTGAGCAGTTTAGGAGATGGGTGTAACTTTCCAACACGCCTGGTGATTATGGATCCAGAACAACTTACTGTTTCAAGCCAAAATGAACCTGTCAAAAGGTATGGGGATTTTGTTTCACTTACATTTTTACTTATGTTTATCTTAAATCATCATTTCAGTGACGTAAGGGAAAATACACACTGAAGACCACTGAAAGTTTATTGGACAAAGCCACAGTTGTGGCTGAAAATGAAAAGTTCTCTTGGATTCTTTTTCCCCCTCAATCCATGGTTGGTCATTACTTGAAGAAGCCACCTTGAACCTCTGGGTCGCTCATGGCATCTGCCCCTTACTGTGCAAGGGGGAGTATGACGTTTGCTGCAAACCAGGAATAGAAGCTAAAAATCTCCTCCATTCATAGATGGAGGAGGAAATATGTAAATCCAAGACTCATGCTAGCTCCCTCATGTAACAACAAACCATAGGTTGTTATGTCTGCAGGCTTTTAAGAGTATAGTCTTGATGTAATAGAATTCAATCTCTGATAGAAGTTCTCTTTTTCAGCTCCTGTCCCAGTCAGGCATTTCCTACAAGGCCACTCAGTGAGTCACAAAATCGGTTGCTAGCCAGTGAAAACCAGTGGGTGGAAACCAGTTCAGAAGACGAAAATGTTAAATCAGGTATTGAATGTTAACCGATAGATTCTAATTGCTTTTTATGGAACAGAATTTCAGTATTTTGATTTTTAAAATTAAATATGGAGAGGACTTGGTTTTAGACCTGAACAGGCCTGAACAAAGTAATATAAGCCAAGTTTGTTCTCTGGTATTTCTGTCATATGACGCCTCTAAAATTTGCATCATGCCAAGGTCTTTTCTTTCTTTTAAGGTGTAAAAAAACATATTATAGTTTCATTGGAGAGCTGATCAGTGTCCATCTCTCTCTCAGTGGTTGGGAGAAAAAGGTAAGATAACTTCTGCTCAAAACAGAAATTAACAGTGATTTTGCAAGACTGTAACATATTTTTGCTTTCATTCTAAAATCCTTTAAAAATAGAAAGTATGGAAGACAGATCAGAGATATAAAGCTTCGACTTAAGTAAGACTCTTTAAAAGCAGGAACATATCAAGTAATGGGCAGAAGATACTGCAGTATATGATTAAAGACTATAGTAACTTCTGCCAATAGCTGTTCTGGTGCTAGCAAGAATGAATAACCTGTCCTCACACATGCTATAAGTAGACTTAATATGACCAGATCTCATTCCTGGGATCTACTTTTACTTCTGTAGTTCAGCCTGAAAGGACAGGAAGGAGTACTTGTAACCAGGTGTGCTGTGCAGTGTTCTTACATAACATGAATACCACAGTCAGTCCCTGCATATTTAGGATTAGGGGCCAGGGTTTTCCAAGCTAGTTGAGACATCCCAAATCTCTAGAGGTAGACAACTTCTCCAAAGCAGAAGGCAGATTTCAGAAAATGCAGGGACACTCGAGAAGACTCAAGGAGGTTGAAGACTCTTATTCACAGTGTTGAATCACAGAGTGAAAGCAGCTTCTGCCTGTATACAAATTAGTCGTACTGTTTCGTAGTTGCAAAGGCAATGCTGTTCAAGGCTTTGTGTGTGGAAAGCAAGTGACATTGCAGGTCCAACTATGTTTCAGGGTTTCTTGGAGAGACTTCTTAATAGACAACAGTTCATACAAGGAAAATGCATAGATTTTGAACAAAGGGTAGTTAGTTCAACTTTGTCTTTTTCATAGCTTGGCTTACCTTTATGCAATTTCAACCTAATTTCATTTGTTTTTCAGTAGGTTTCTACAGTCCATTTGTGCTTGGGTATTAATTTTGTAAGGAAGACACTGATATATCAATGGAACAGTGCCAGCATGTTAACAGGATATGAAAAATGAAGCTCTGTGGTATCCACTGGATGCTTATAAGCACTTGCAGAACAGGAAGTCATCTGATGCCTTAAGATTCTTGATGTGCATTTTTGCAACACAACTTTAAGCCACTACAAGGGCCAAATCGTGAAATGCCCTGCAAGGGTGCACAAGACTCTAAAAGTGCAGAAACTATGCATTCCAGCTGCACTCCAGTGGAGGAGACCGATTCTGCAAAGTTCACATGAAAGATAATGCTGTGCCAGCATCATGCAGGAGTTACATTCATAGCAAGTCTGTGGGGGCAAGGTTGGTTGGAGGAGGGAATTATGTGATACAACCATTGAGTTTGGCCTCTGAAGGTACACGGTACAGTTATGTGTGACTCAAACACCATATGGTGGATTAGCAGCATGATGCATTTTTGCTTTCCCACTACGATTATCAGATAATGGGTGATAGTAGTAGGTGTTACTAACCTGACAACCCTGGCTTTTTAGTCCTGATATTGATGTTCTCTTCCTTCAGGCTTGCTTTTTTGCAATACAGTGTCAGACAAACAAGGTTATCCATTTGCTTGTTTGACTCAGAATTAGCACCCACTGGCAGCTTGGTACATTAATCTGAAGTTTTCTTAGTTGTTTAAAAAATTAAGAGAGCATTTTAATTTCCTGAAATGTGTTTAATCTAAGCCATATCAGATCAGAAATATACTTCAGTAAAGTTATTTCTTCCCCTACCATCGTAAAAACATTTACTTGAATATTATTTTTAAATCTTTTTGACTAGTAATTCCAAGTTTCAAATCCTTTCTGAAGCTTGCGTATACTTAAGTCTTCTTTACATGTAAGTTCAGAGATAATCCACTTATTTTTCTTTGATAGAAAGGAAGCAAATTAAGTACTGCTTTTTTGTGGAGCTGGATTTCAAAAGTGTCTTTTCAAGGGATATGATTAAATTACAGTGGGGAAGAAAGCACCAAAAGGTGAAAGAGAATTCTGTTTTCTAAGGCACTTAGTTTACTATTTCCCTTATCTTAGACCTTAAGATCCAAATATTCATTTTTAAGCAGAAATTGCCCTTTGCGTGCATAATTCCAATAACACTAGAAATTATTGTGGAGGCTTTATCTTGACTGAGGGCAGCAAAGTGCTTTATGCTTGATTTATACATTTCTGAACAAGAGCTGAGTGTGCATGAGGTTTCCATTCCTTCCATCCCTCCCCACCAACTCAGCCTGCAAACATTGCTCCAGTCACCTTTACTCCAAGGAAAAGATTCAGGGAGGTTGTGATGTTCCTCCTTAGCTGTATGGAGGGTACTGCACATCATTCTGTCTTGATATAAACATTTTAATCCCCATGATAAATTGTGTTTTGACTGCTCAAAGCCTGTTGACGTTCCAGAACATCTCAAACTTTTTTGGCATAAATTCGGTCATTGTGTGACACATACAAAAGAAATTGGGCCCAATCTGCAAATCTTAGGTGGCATAACAAGGGTGGGAAAAGAGGAATTATATGCACTCTAACTTTATAATTTGCAAAAATGTTGCATATGTTCATAAATTTGGCTGTAAAACAAGGGAAGAGCTCCAGTAGCTTGTGCTGCCTTTGAGACCAGCCTGAACTTGGATCACAAAGTACTATGCTCAGGATTTTCAACACTAACATATCCCGTTCCCTTATTCAGTTAAAGGGTTCCAAATAATCTTATGCCCGCCCACCCACCCCCAGCAATGTTGGGAGCCCATAGGATTGTGCCCTTATAATACCATTATTTCTTCTTATGGTGTGTTAATAAACACAGAGTACATGAAATGAATGGGTGACAGGGTTCTCTTTGTAAAGTGTACATAGGAATAAAAGTCCATCTGCACTCATTTGTAAGGTGTCCACATATTTCTGATATATTCTGATATAATCCCATTTTCCTTGTTGTTATTGGGATAAATTTTAAAAAGCCAATATTTAATATTTTATTATTCTGCATTCCTTAAACCACTTGGTAAAGCTTCCATCAATTATTTTATTTTTAAAATGTCAATGACAATAAAACTGTCACTGTATCAGAACATGTTCACAGTATCTAAAATGTATTTTAGATAAAGTGTCATAGCAGTATCATGAAATTATACCAAAGAATATATTGCATAAAGTTTGTGGATTATACTGAAAGATATGTTTACAGGTTTTATTTCAATGCCTTCTCATTAAAGCATTTTGCTGGTGATTTGATGATCTGTGTACTTGGAAACACTTTACTGTATGCACAATTATTTTTAATATTAGTAAATTAATCTTGCATCCCGTGAGCATAGATACATTCCTTGCCACTGTGCAAAGTCCCTTATCAGTCATTCTTGAATTCTGATTTTATCAAGGTACTTGCTGGCTGCTACTGGGATAAGATTTTAGGTTGCAGTTTGGGGGTGAAAAGTGTAAAAAGAAATAAAAAACACATTTTAGAAATTGTTTCTTATGCCAAAAAAGTAAGTATTAGAAAAGTCTCAAAATGCAACTTTGCAAACCAAATCTACAGCTTCCTCTACAGAAGAAAAGTCCTAATTGATACCCCTCTCTAAATGAGTCAGTCAAGAAGGTCCAAGCATCTTTTCATAAAATGATGCCAACTATAATATACAATGTGAAGTTAGATCTTAGCTACCTAACAATGCATCCCTTGCCAACTGTGTTTAAAAATTATTTTTAAGTTAGTCTTACTATCCATTATGTTCTCCAGATATTACTTGAATATTGTAAATGGTAAAAAAAAAGCTGGCCATGTTTACAAAGTAGAGATGAATGGTTTATCAAGATCTCATTTTGTGGCACCAAAGAATGAGAAATTTTATCAAATGTATAGCTTGCATATTAGCCATTTAAAGGACTTCCAGAATTCTGAAATTATGCCAGGAAAATGTTAAGGTATGTGGTTTAAGGACTGCAGCCTTTTTACCTCAATCCTAAATTTAACTGGAAGTCCTGCTAGAGATTACGTTACAAGTACATGGCTTAGGGTTGCAGGTTGCAGTGCTTAACAAAATTTCTGTACCATGTCTTCCCCATATCCCCGCTCCCCCACCCAATGTAAATTACATGGCCATACAAGTGGTACCTTAAGTTCATCTAGGGTTACCAGAACCTGTGTTCATCAGTTGTTGTGTCAGATACATTGCACTGTATTTATGACAAATATGTATGCAAGTATTTTACCTAATTATTTCCATTGTACTAAAAGTGAGCTTGCAAGTTTTCACATTTAAATTGGAATAAGGTTACTTAGAGGATATATAATGTGAATGATGCATCTGTTACACTGCAGATAAGAATATCCCTATGCACAAAGAAAACATATTGCCATTAACAATTTAATACTTCAAAGTGACTTTTTCAATGGGCTTTTATAAATAAATATAAGAATAAAGATCACTTTGCCTGGAATTTTCATATTTTTACCTTCACCTTGTAATATCTTTCATGTATATTTTCCACCAATGTAATAATTTTAGGTCATAATGAGTATTTTGTATATCAAAGTGCAGACTTCCATTCATGTCTTAATTATAACTCCTAGAAAAACAATGCATCATCTTTAAGTCCTTCTTTGCCAAAGTGGTGGTACATTAATAGATTCTGACACAATGAATGCGAAAAAAATAAATACCTTGGAACTAAGCTGGCTCTTGTGAACATTTCTAGCTAGTGGTGGTAATAAAGATACCATTTTCTATGTGGGGCATCTTTGCTAACCAGGGAATTTTTTAATACAGGAAATTGGTGGAGAGAGAGCAGGCTTTAAGCACTGTCAGTAACACTATACATCACTTGTCATAGGCAGGTCTGTTAAGGCATCTTCCCTAACTTCCTGTTTCCTGGCTTGGTGGTGCTTGAGCGAACAGGATTGCTGTAATTATAGCCTTGACCATTTAATTTCTCTCAAATTTGAACAAAGCATTTATAAATCACAATGCTTGCAATTCTACCCTCCCCTCCCTCATTTATTTGGATCTGCTTTCTTGTACACTTTTAAGTATTAAAAACACTTAATGGTAATTTTGATTTCAAGCATGTTTCAGGGAGAATTTCCAGACAAAAAGCAGCTGTTGCTTGCAAACCATCACCCTCCATCTGAAGGAAGGGGCAAGTGTGGGGGTAAAGCAACTGAAATAATTTCATCTTCCCTTTCTTGCATGGAGTTTACACACAAGCACAATGGCTGAATAAACTAGATTTTCCCAACCATCTTGTGTATGTATAGGTAGTGTAAACTTGCACTCCTAGAGTGAAACAATCCTTACATATCTTTCTACCAAAGAACAGAAATTGAGGGTCTTTGCTGCATTTTTGTTTTTCTAAAAGTAGTGTAAAGCTTCATTCTTCTGTTCCTTGTCACCTAGCATACCATACCTTTCAAAATGCCTAATTTAGGGTTTTATTTGCTTGCTTAAAAGCAATCTCGTGGGACTCAGAGCTTCAGCTATGGGGCACTACAGGTAGCTGATCCATATTTTCATTTCATTGTCACCATGTGTTTCTGATGGGTATGAAATTGCACAATGGTAGCCTGTATCAGGTACTAATGGAAGCCAGTTACTAGCTGAATCAGTCATTTTTACGAGCAACAGAACTGAAGCAAAGGCTTGAGCCCTTTTAGTGATCTCCTTAACTAAAGGGACACTCCCACACTTACTTAATGTCCTCATCAATCTGGGTAACTGAAGCAATATCATGCTTTTAAAATTAAAAATTTTAAATTACTAACAACTGTTTCTTCTGCTTCTTGACTGAGAAGTAGAATATAAGCATTTTGAATGAATGCATGAAATAGTTTATCAATACTGAAATGAATATCTTGGCTGTTTATGTTAATATTTGACCAATTCAGTGATACTATTTAGCTAATAAAATACTTCGTATCATTGAAGTAGCTAATTTTAAGAACAATTTATGTGAATTAAGCACATCACTCTGTCCCCACAACTACAATCAATATGAAAAAGTACATAATGAATTGTACATGAGATTTATCTTGCAAGAGCAAGAAATTCTAAGTAATTCAGCATTATGTTGCGAGCAGGATATACTGCCGATTGACTTGCCACTTACACAAGCAACCTGTAGTGGTACACCAAATAGCATAAATTATCATGATGGTTTTCCCTAGAAAACTCAAGGAGCCACCCTTCACTACTGCAGAACTATTAGTGGCCACTGTTGGTAGCAATACATCAATAATGTAAACAAAGTAACAGTTTTGAATTCTGCCTTGTATCTGCAGTTACCTCTGAAGCAAACTTCACTGTCAAAGCAATGCACATTTTTTCTTTACCAGGCTGAACAGCAGGTGACCCCTTCAAACCAAAATGCTATCACTAAATGTTTGGAATATAAAAAGCGGTAACAACTTAGAAAAGAATGCACTAAAAATTGATTCAGTGACAAAGCTGAAGGGCGATGCTTTTATTTACAAGAACTTGTTATAACTATTTCCCAGTCAGCAAATGGGAAATGGCTGACCAATGCAGGCAGTCCATATAAAAAAATAAGTCTATGTTATCCATTTCTTGGTCACATTAAGATGTTCTAGATGTTCTGCAGCATACTTGTGCTCAGGAAACTTAGAAGTTGATGCTATAATTAATGCTTTCCTAGTTGCATAGCTGCGTTCTTCATTATGACGATACTCCTGCTCTTTTGTCATATAAGGCTGGCTCAGCCAATATTCATTTTCAGCTTCAATTTCCAGCCTCCGAATCATACTACTCTTCATTACAGCGGTAACAAATCTTGGTCGTCTGTGTTTACCGATCCATTGTTTCCCAGGAATTCTGTTCCGAAGTAATGCAATGGTCAGAAACATACCTTTGAGGGTAAAAAGAATAACTCTGATTACTTGACTGTTAGGAGCAAAAGAAGTGTTACGCTGGAATGTACCATAGGTCCATCTAATCCAGCATTCTGTTCATAAAGTGGCCAACAAGCTGCCCATTGGGAATGCAAAATACTTTCCCTCCCATGCTCCCCAGCAAGTGGTGTACATAGGCACAGTGCCTCAGATGCTGGTGGTAACTTACAGCTATCATGACTAGTCACCACTGATAAGACTTATCCCCCATTAATTTCTCCAGTCCCCTTTTAAAACTATTCAAATTGGTGGTCATCACTACCTTTTGTGAAAGTGAATTCCATACTTTATGTGCTGTGTGAACTGCTTTCTTTCCTGAATCTCTTGAGTCAAGTTCATGAAATATAGAACACAACACATTTCTTCCCACATTTGAAAAAGTCTGAATTTAAAAATGTTGAATTTCTTTCACTATTTAGAAAGTAAACAGTTTACTTTTCTAGAGTTCACAGAAGAAAAACATTGGTATGTCTGATTATGATGGCTGGTCTTATTTTTGAAATAATAGATATGCATAGGTTCCATATAGTCTGAAGTTGTCTGATCCTGTCTAAATCTTGGAAGGTATGCATGGTCCTGCCTGTTTGAAATGGGTGACTTAAATGTGAACCACCCAAAGTTTCAGCCACGGGCAGTATAAAAATTTTAATGTAATAATAGTTCACACAACTGATTCCACCAATGGTATCTCATCTAATTTGGCCCTAAAAAGACTACACTCAAGTATTTATATAACACACCTGCCGCTATACCAAGGACTACTGACCTCATTCTTCCTGTTACTAATGTTCTACCAGCTATATGGTGTATAATTTAAGCCACGGTAGCCTACAAGTTATTATTTCTTTAACTTACTTGTATCTCAGACTAAAACTCCTGGAGAAATTCACTACCAACCAACCAACCAACCAACCAACCAACCAGACAGTATCTGCTTTACAGCCTCAGAAGATACGATACACGGGGAAAAGAGGATGGGGACGAGAGGGAAAACTAGACCTTCAGCAGGGCTGAGGGAATGGCTCTGCTTCCTGATGCTCCCTTTATCTGCATGGTCTGCCTACTTCGAAAAGTGTGCATAACGACTGCACTGCACAAGAAACTGATGCAGCACCCTCGTCCGGGATTCTACAAAGGGAAAAGAGGAGCACATATCACCGCCTTCTGCTCCTGCAACTCCACTTATGAGAGGGCTTGGAAGGCAGAGGCTCCAGTCAAGAGGTCCTTGCCCTCCTTTGTACCACCATGTAAGCGAAGGGAAAGGTCTACCAGAGCCCACCGACCCCTTCCTTAACAATGTGCTCAAGGCATTTCCGGCTTCTCGCGAACTCACCGAACACTGTCGCCTCGAGACTCCCAAACAGAACCCCGAAAAACAAAATGGCGCAGCTACGCCAGCAGGCCTCGTCGTTAGGGTATTTCGGCTCTCGCGAGAGCTCAAATTCACATACGAAAGGAGGGGAAAGCGGCTGGGCGGGGCTCTGTTGGAGCCGCCAATCAGGAACGGCCTTCGCGAGAGATTCAAAGTGCGGGGCGGTATTGGGCCGTAGGAGAGAAGTGGCGGCTCCCGAAAGGAAAGGTCCCGTGAAGTGCTTTGAGAAGGGCAGACGAGGGGTGGCTTTTACAGGCTTGCCGTTTCGGGTACAGCCGTGGGTTTCTGTTTGCAGGCGTGGTGGGGGGTGTTCCAACCCGTGTTAGCGAATGATGGTGTGAACGGGGTCAGGCGGTGGCACTTATTCTCTGTAAGCGACGTGTGGTCGCGACGGTCTCCTTTTGTCTCTTGCTGGTGTGCGGAGTCCCATCTCTTCAGGGTACAACCTGGAGAGCATGAGGGATTTATGCTGGCTTTTGCCCAATGTGGTGTAATGGTTAAGGGTGCTGGACCGGGACACGGGTCGAGGTGCTAGTCTCGCCTCGGCACTGAGGTTCGCTGAGTGAATTTGGGCCAGTCACAGACTCTCGGCCTGACCTACCTTACAGAGTTATCATTGTGAGGGTAAAATGAAGAGAACCTTATAAGCTGTCTTGAGTTTTTGCAAGGAACGAAAGGCAGGGTATAAATGTAATGATTTTTGTAGGAATGGTTGAATTCATGGGTACGACGTCTGACATGAGCCTGTAGACATGCGGGTAACACTGGAAATTTTTTGGCTCAAAAGTGATGTATAAACGCCGAAAATAAAGGGGGTGATGTAACTTGGGTGTCTTGCAATTGCAAGTGGCTGGATGCGATGGCCTTCTTGGCCCCTTCCAACTACACTATTCTATGAAATAATAGACTCTCCAGTCACTGAGTCTAACATACCTCACAGTGTTTTTGTGAGGGTAAAATGAAGAGGAGGACCGTGTAAGCTGAATTCCTTGTGAAGATATTAATGTAATACTAAGAATTTTACCATTATCTCCTCTGAGTACAAGATACATGTTGGAGATAAACAATGTGTGACCTTGCAGGGCTTTTGGTTGGGATACTGAACAAGCCTAGGCAAGTGGGAGTAAGATTGCAACAGTAGATCCTTAAAATAAGTTGGTTGTATTCTTTAGTCAAAGCAAATGTGTGGCACCTGAAAGATTAACAAATGTATAACAATGTAAGCTTCATTTAATTTATTATGGGCATACTTTGTGCAGGTGTTTGCTTAGAACATAATAATGTGGGACATTAGATGAGTGAAACTGGCTTGTGTGAAACTGGTTCAAACTAGATGGCCCAGACAGCCCCTTCTGACTTGCTATGTTTCTATAATTCATTATTTATAGAAAGTCTGACCTGCTGTACCAGAATACATTCACTGTTTGCTCCAAAATTCACAAATACTTCCAATGCAAGTATGCAAATTATGGCTATGATGTACATTTAGCTTCTCTTCCATATTTCATTGTATGTTAACAATGTTTTTATGAAATGCAAAAGGAGCCTTAAAGCTAGCAGAGTTGTAATTACGACTGCTCTTCTTTCATAAGGACTAAGAGAAATTCATAAGCTCTTAAGTATTCTCTTTTTTTAAAGAAAGGAATATTTTCTGCTAGTCTTGCAAACAAAAACATCAGTCACCCATGATACAGCAGTACCATCTTTCTCTTGCCCACATACCCCAAATTGTGACATTTATAATATTTTTATAATGTCCAATAATTGAATTTCTCCAAATGGGTCACAACAATTAAAACCATAAAATGCAGCACTATAATGCCTAATGTAAAACTTTAAGATGTTTAAAACTATAGTCTAAAACCCAATAAAATAAAAACAACATCCATGTAAAATATTGAAAATACAGCAATAGTTTTAAAAACAACAAACTGAACTAAAATCTGAAAAAATGACCTCTTCAACTGAGTTTGAAAACAATGCAGGTACCAGGTGATCTTCCATGGGAACCTCCTTCCACAATCACATTATTGCAGCAGAGACCCTGTCTTTTCACACCCACTCACCTCACATTATTTGGTATAAGCTGCCAGAGAAGGGCCTTTGAAGACAATTTCAGGATCCAGACAGGTATATATGGGAGGAGACAATCCTTCAGGTAACCAGTCCCAAGCCAGGTTAAAAATTGACACCAGCATTTTAAATTGAGTTTGAAAATGGATTGACAGCCAGTGCTGATCATAAAGTACTAAAGTAATGCATTCATATTGACCAGCCCTTTAACAACAATGCTGCCCTGTTGTGGACTAGCTGAAGTTTTCAGTCCATTTTCAAAGGCTTCTTCATAGATAATACATGGCAATAATCCAAACAAGATGTTACCAGAGCATGGATAGCTAGGCTATCTTATCTAGATAAGGATATAATTGATACGTTTTTATGACTGACGTTAGAAATTTAAGTCACAAAAGTGTCACAGGGTGATTATAAGTAGTGGTATTCATGATACAGCTGAAGGAACTCTCATTTTCCTGGATACAAAACAGGAAAATGCAGCATTCCCTTGATAGAAATGTACTTTATAGGGAGAATCTTGTGTAGACTTAGGATTCATACGTTCATGAAACATACAGGGTTCAGGAAAAGTGATGTGGGAGTAGCAAACCAAAGAAATTTGTGTCTGAGCTGCTGTGTTTTACCCATTTTGAAAAGTTGCTTTATATTTTTTCACCAATTATGTGCATAGCAGCAAGAACTGGTATTTTCTCCCATTATGGATGTGACAGGAAACTTTTTCAACAAACTGCGAAGCATAGCTGTCACTTTGGAGAAACAGACTAAACAGTTTAAGCAAGTTTTCCATGGTGATGACACAGGTAAGAAAGAATTATAAATATTGTTTCATGACATGAAATATTGCTTCATGACACATAAGCCATGTGCCATTCATTTTGAGGGGTAGGGAAACATTCTGACAGTTTTGATTTTGAGATTGGGATGTTTGCAGTTTCAGTGCTCAGCATCTCAGTTCAGTTCTATGGGGTACTTCAGCTGTAGTCATGTCTAGTATGTCTATATGGATAATTTCTCATGAGAATGCAGATTTCTGGCACTGCCCACCCTAGTTAGGCTTTGCAAGCACAGAATCAAGAGGAGATGGCATGGGATGTTTTGTTAAGAAATATGCCAAGACTTAGATGAGAACTTAGAAGCTCAATCTTTTTATTTATTTATTTATTTATTAAGACATTTTTGTGCCGCCCCATTCACCAAAGCCTCGGGGCGGCTTACAACAATAAGTTAAAATACAAATACATTAAGTTAAAATACAAACATTAAATTATAACCTTAAGTTAAAATGTTTGTAAAATGTAAACATAAAGTTAAAACACAAAAATAACAATATAAAATAAGTCGCCCTGGCCAGATAAAATCCAATAATATTAACAATTAAAATGACGCTTAAATAAAAAGGTCTTCGCCTGGCGCCGAAAAACAAATAACGACGGCGCCAGGTGGACCTCTCTGGGGAGCGCATTCCATAGATTAGGCGCCACCACAGAGAAAGCCCTCCTCCGAGTACCTACCCTCCTAATTTCCTTCACGGAGGGTTCCCGGAGAAGGGCCTCTCCCGCTGATCTCAGGGGGCAGGCGGGCGGGCGGGCAGGTGTATATGGACGTAAGCGCTCCTTCAGGTAGCCAGGACCCAAGCCATTAAGGGCTTTATAGGTCATCACCAACACCTTGAATTGGGCCCGGACTTCAATGGGAAGCCAGTGAAGCTGACGGAGAACTGGAGTCATGTGAACATAACGCCCAGTCCCCGTCAGCAGCCTGGCAGCTCTATTTTGAACCAATTGAAGTATCCGGACCGTCTTCAAGGGTAGTCCCACGTAGAGCGCGTTGAAGAAGTCAAGGCGGGAAGTCACCAGCGCATGTGTCACTGTCACCAGACAGTCGTACTCCAGGTAGGGGCGCAGCTGATGAATCAGCCGAAGCTGAAGGAAAGCGCTCCTTGCCACTGCTGTTACCTGAGCTTCCAGTGAAAGCTCCGGGTCAAGGAGCACTCCCAGGCTGCGGACCTTGTCCCTAAGAGGGAGTGCAACCCCGTTCAGGACTAGGTTCAGTTCACCCTCTCCGAAGCCCGATCCGCCAACCAACAGGACCTCCGTCTTGTCTAGATTGAGCTTCAGTTTATCAGAGTTTAACCAGTTATAGTACAGTATAAAGCAGTAGTGTTAAACTGAAATATTTACTCCTTCTCCCTTTTTCAGAAAAGCTTCTGGCTCCATCCTCAGGGTGGCTCCTGCTACTTAAGAAAGAGCATCAGATTCTTCTTAAGTTTGTTCACTTGCTTCACCTGTCCTTTCCTGACAGTGCCAAGGAACTCCCCTTGCAGGTCTTCCCTCTCACTCTGAAATGTCTCCTTCCTTTTCCAAAGCAGACTGGTTCTCATGCTTTGCCTGAGAATCTTCACTACAAAATCATCTGCCCAACTCTGTTTCTCTGTCAGCTTCTCAGAATCAGATGAATATATCTGAGCAGACTGTAATATGCAAGACCTGGTCCCCCTCTCTACAAGTCTGAAGTGATGCTCTCTCCTCTGTACTACTTGTTGTGCATCCAATCTGAGCAGTACCATTCTGTTCCATTAAATGCTACGGCATATTGGACTTCTGGAAAGCTCCATACAGATTGTCCAGGGGGAGCCCTTCTCTAGGGGGAGCCTCTAAAGGATTAGTTATCATCAATGCAGGTCTAGCTTTGAACCCAGATTTTAAAAGATGAATTATTGTGGGTTATAGTTTTACATACCCAGGTTGTGATTCTAGTTTATACTTACTAGTTACTCCCCATTCTGCAGGATTTTCTGGAATTTGTAATAGTTTGTACACTCACAGTGTTGTTATTGTGCTGAAGTTGTCTCTGATTTATGGTGACCCTATGAATGAAAGCTCTCCAGAATGTTCTCTCCATAACAGCCCTGCTCAGCTTTTGTAAATTCAAGGATGTGGCTATTTTTATGGAGTCAATCCATATCATAGTTGGACATATTTGGCATTTCTTTTTCTGCTTTCAACTTGTTATAGCATCATTGCCTCCTCTAGTGAGTCTTGCCTTCTCATGATGTACCCAAGGTATGACAGCCTAAGTTTTGTCATTTTTGCTTCTAAGGAAAGCTCTGGCTTGATTCGCTCCAGTATCCAATTGTTCATCTTTCTGCTGGTCCAAAGCTCTCCAGCACCATGTTTCAAATGCATCAATTTTCTTCCTGTCAGATTTCTGCACTGTCCAGTTTTCACACCCGTACATGGTGATTGCAAATGCAATAGTGTGGATAATCTTGGCCTTGGTCTCCAGTAAAACATTCCTACAGTCGATCTTTTCAAGTTCCTTCCTTGCTGCCCTTTCTAGTCTGTCTCTGAATTTCTTGGCTGCAGTCACCCTTTGAATTGACTGAGCCAAGATATTTAAAATTTTTCACAATATCAATCTCTTCTTTGATAGCAGTACAGTTATGTAATTCTTCTGTAATCATGGTTTTTGTTAATATTTAGTGCCAGTCCTATTTATTTGCTGCTTTCACTGTCATCAGAAGTCATTTCAGTTTGCTACTGCTCTCTGCCAGTAATATGGTATTATCTGCATATCTTAAATTATTGATGTCTTCCACCAATTTCCACTTCTTCCTCTGAATCTAATCCGGCTTTCTTTGTGGTATGCTCTGTATACAGCTCAAACAGGGAGAAAAAATATTTTTGTGTTTGGGAAACTATTCTGTTTCTCAATACTCTGTTCTAACAATAGCTTCTTGAAGATTATACAGAATATGCATCAAGACAATCAAGGGCTGAGGCACCCCCATTTCTTTCAGAATCATCTAATCTGTGGGTTTCTTTTCCATATTTGTTGGCATGTTAGGATTTGGGCTGATTCATTCTCTGTGTGTTGGGATAGTTTGATTGGTATCCCATTTACCCCAGGTGCATTCAGAGCAGTTTTCACTTCTCTTTCTAATAGTTCAGGCTCTTCCTCATAGGATTCCTCTGTGAAGGAATCTGTCATGCTTTCATCCATTCTGCATAGTTCTGTATATTCTTTCCACCTTCTCTATTTTCTCCTGCCCAGATGATGTGTCCCCTTGTTTCTTTTGTAGCATTCCTAATCTAGGTTTGAATTTCCCTGTCCTTAGCAACTATGAGTGTTTTCTCTGACATCCGCCTAGGCTTTTTGCCTCTCTGCTACAGGAATTATCTGTTGGTATGCTTCCCTACTAATGTGTCTGGTTTCAATCCACAGTTCTTCTGGCTCATGGTCAGTTAAGCTGAGTAACACAAATCTATTCTTTATATGGACGTACATAGCTTTTTCTTTATTTCTCTGTCCTATAATTCTACACGCAGTACCAATGGTCACCAGTTTCAAAATAGGGAACTAGGTGGATAGATCCTGACTAGGATCCAGGAAATGCTTATTGGAATTAACTCCTGTGGGAATATGTGGGGCTGGTTTGCTATTAACTTTTCTGAATGGGACTTTTACTTGGTTTGTATATTACAACTGCATGGGGTCTAAAAACAGCTATGAGTAAATAAACAATAGTTAAGTATTACGTCTGAATACTTATAACCATGCCTAAGGATCATCTGCAAATCAAGATATGAAGCCATAGTTTAAAGTGGTGTTGCACACCATGGTTATGTTTCACAAGCCATGAACAAACTGTGATTAAGACAGTTTCTTACTCCTTGCAAGATGAGCAGCTCTCATATCTTGGTATCTACACCTTCAGCTGAAGTGTTTAGTTTAGCAAACTTGACCATAGTGTCACTATACATTTGAAATTTTCACCAGAGTTATAGCAACAAACCATGGCTAGGTAAAGCCAGTATCTACACCTGGGTTAAGTATATTTTTAAAATAATATAATATTTCCATCCTGTCCCTCATTTGCAAAGCTTATAGTGACTTCCATGGGGTTTCCAAGCAGTGTTCCACCTAGCCATTGAGAAGGCTGAAACCTTAGCTTCAACAATGTATCAGTGTCATGTGCTACAGAATATGCCATATAAGTGCTTTTTTTCTAAATCCTTTTTCTTTTTCCTTTTTTTGATCTTTAAAACAAAGAATTTGAAGATGAATCTCCAATGAGATATTTACATGAACTATACTCTGAAGTCAGGACACTAAAGGTATGTCTTGCCTGCTCTTTTAAACCCAGGAGTCAGCTTTGGTTCAGCCAAAGCTTCTTACCATAGATTTGAGTATACTCAGGAGGAAATAAAATCACTTGTGTCAAACATAAAATATACAGGTTATTGAATATGTACATAATTCAGTATGAATGTACTGAATACATAATATAGTATCCATATAGGTAATATGGATACAGATTGCCAGTAAACAAACAAAAGAAAACTTCTATACATCTTGCAATTATTATTTAATATTAAAATTAGTTATTAAAATTGTTTTTAATTTTAAAGGTCCAGTTTAAATTAAAAATACTTTAAATGAAACTGTTTTTATTCACCCAACAGTTAAGGTATTGGAGAGGTCTTTTGCTGATTTGTGATGAGAATAATGAAATAGATCTTGTCTCCTGAGCCTTTCATACAACTTGCTAATGCAAATTCACTGTCCATTGTTGGCTTAACATCAACTTTCTTTTTAAATCAAAGGGTGATGTTGATAATACTTTTCATAAGAGTTCTTCAGAAAGAGATGCTACATGTGACTTCATAAAAGCCAGTAAAGTTCTGATGAAAAGAAATGAAACAGATCTTGAGAAAATAAGAGACCTGTTCCACAAATATGGTTACAACCCACGTGTTGACAAACCTACAGGTAACTTTTCTATATCTAGGGAACTTGTTGATTTTTTAAAATGTATTCCATGTGTTAGTCATCCTTGTGTGTGGATTTCTAATATATATGTTAGGTATTGCTAAGAATTTTGCTTTGTTCTCTGTAGTACTCACTGCAGAGTCAGTCTGGTGATTTTAGGATTCCAATGTATAGTATGTTTGGAGTTGAACTACTTTTTGAGTAACATACATTTTAAAAGGCTGTATATTTCAGTTTTAAGGTTTCTGCACATGTCTTGCCTGCTTCCTTAAGAATTGCATAAGCACATAATTGCTTTTAGTCAGTAGAATATGCGGTTTGAGATTGGGATTTATTTTTTTAGATTTCATGTTTTAGATATTTGTATAGTTAGGGAGCACTCCTGATCCTATGGTATCCTTGGAAGTTCAGGTGATAGCAGCAATAAGAAGTACATTTGAACAACCATGGCTGCAACCATTCCTGAGGAAATCAGATCTGGCAATAGATATCCATGCATTTTTATTTTTGTAAATTATCTTGGCTGACTTCAGAAAGGCAGTACAAAAATAAAAGAAATGAATTTTATGCCCAATCAATTGCAACTATTGTTTAGTATCCAATACCGCCATTCCTCTGCTGGTTCTGTTTGTTTATAGAACCTACACACTGGTGCAACAGGAAATTTGTGGTTGTAAATCTGGAAACCAGGAAAAATGCTTGTTTCTGAAATGGGAGTGGCCAGTGGAGCTCCTGCACCCTTCCAGAACTGAACATTTCCACTAGTTTCCTATTCCTATTGCTTCTGGAACTACTAGCATCTCATTGAAGAATGCCAGATCCTGCTAGCACACAGACAGTATTATCCTTTATACATGCACTATGTTTCTTTCAGTGGTATTCAAGCATTCATCTACATTCTGGCACAACTTGTCATGTTAAAGTACTAGTGTTGATTTGTTAGGCAGTGCTTCAGCTGATTCAGCAAGGTAATGTTCATGGTCTCGTCATTATGTTTAGGAGAAAGGGAGCATACTATGGATACTTACATGGCTGTCTACCTTCTTCCATGTTTTTTCTCCTCCCTCATACTGTACTATTCTATATTTATGTTAATTTGTAGTTGGCAGCAACTTCCTCATAATGGAGTTTGAAACCATAGTTTGAAGTGCGTTTGCAGGAATTAGCTACAACAGAATCTGGTTATTATAGGTTAACTATTTTGGGCCATTCCCTGAAACATGCCTGACTACAAATTCTGGTTTTAAATAGTGAATAGTTCTCAGACTATGAGCAAATGTCTTTTTGATAATGCAGTAAAGGATAAAGCTGAAAACAAAGTTGAGTCTACTTTGCCTGAGCAAGAAGGTCCGGAAAACCTTGATCGTTCTGGAAAATCACCTGGCTCTCATAGTCCACGGCAAATTCCACAGCTTTCAGATTTTGGACTTTCAAAATATGCTTTCCCAACTACTGCAAGCAAAGTGTATCCTCAGCTTCAAGCACATATACAGAAAGAAGAGCCAAGAACAGATGCCTCACCCAAAACGGAACACTTCCGTATGCACGGAGAGGTCCTGTCTTTGAATGATGAAACCACATGTTTAATGGAAGACCAAACAATCTTCCTACTTAATAATGCAAAAAACATTAAGTAAGTCATATCCCTGGAATTTCTGTAAAAATATTGGGGCTTTCATTGCTCTTACTGCACATTCCTTCTCTGAAGTGGGATCTGCAAATGTTACTAAGCTATATGCAGAAATCTTTAGTGGGTGAAGGGGTGAAATGTCTGCTGCAAACCTCTAGATCAGAACTGGGCAACCTATGGTCCTGCAAGACATTGGACTACAGTCTCTGTATTTCTAGGTCATGTTTAAGGGTGGAATGTTCCCAAGCTAACATTTTAAAAAATGGCAAGTGCACATGTCATCACAACATGAATAACCAAGGCAAGAACAGCCTTTTCCAGATGGACTGGTATACCAGCCATGATCCTTGGCCACTATTGCCACCTGAGCTTTCCTAGTTAGTGCCACGGCAAGAAGTGCCACTCCCAGGTTATATACTTGTTGCTTTAGGGATAATGCATCTCCATGTAAGACGAGATTTATTTCTCTGGTTGGTTGATTTCCCTACGCCTGGATTCATATAAATGCATACTATTCTTTTTTGTCCAGACCCCATTTCACTCCCATTTCTCTGTTGCCCACCTGATGTTGGATTATATATTGTAGGCCCCTCAGAGCAGGGTTATAAAAGTCTATGTACACTGATGGCATAATCACTGAGAGTAGGAACAAGAAATCAGCAGCTGTTCAGATGTTGCTGAACTCAAGATTATTGTCTGATGCAGAAAGCATGGCCAGTGGTCAGAACTGACCACTTATACTGCACGAGGGATTTACATGATAACTAAGATACAGGGAGTAGAGGTTTTTGCTAGTGTTTGGGATTAAAACTCACCGACTTCTCTTGCTTTCATCTACCTGGTTCCTGGAAAAAAAGAAACCTAATACTGTTGTATCCATTGATATGAACTGTTTCTCTCAACAAGCAAGTTCAAACTGCTTTGGTTTACCACAGAATTCTGCTTAGAGCTTTATGGGAGCATAAACACAGGGCAGTATCCAAGTGGACCTAAATGTGAATGTTGCACTAGCATGATGGACCTCTAGCACAATGCTAATAGCATTAGCTGGCAAGACAGGATTCCCAAGAAAGGCCATTGTACTAATATTGTTTTGTGTTCTGCTAGAGCTCCTTTATGCTAATGTAACATAATGTTGGTGCTTGTGTCAACTTGAACACCAGGCATAGCACCTGTCAGTTATGAGGCTAGATATGCTTTCATGGATGTGACAATATTTTTGTCTTTTCTTAGACGGGGCTTGAATGGATCAGCAGTGATATCACTACCAAACAAGAACCTGGATACACCTAAGCAGGAAAACAAAGTATGTGGTAAGTCCCAGGTATTTAGAATAAACTGTGATACTTTATACTTCCAGAAGGCCCCACTGTAGTAGAAATATATATTTAAAGAAATATATCCTTTATAACAATGAAGGGTTACCTAAAGGTGGCCTGTAGAAGCCTGGAAAATTCTGGGACATTCCAAGCCTTTTCTCTTATTTTGTTTTTAACAATCAGAAGCATAATAAATTGTAGGTCCAACAAACCAAATGATGGTTGGAATAAACTAGTGTTTTGAACACTATTTGGGAAGAGACCAGATGGATCTCCCTTGGCAGGCATTTCCAGAATCAAGGTGTACCTGCCAGTTGAGCTTCATGTAGGTTGATGCTCAAGAGGGTTTTCTTTTGTTGTATAAGGGAGAGTTATTTAGGGTGTCTGGCCTTAAGCTGTTTAGGTATTTATAAGTCATAACCAGTACTTCAATTTGGCATGGAAATGGACCAGAAACCAGTGCTGTTGGCACAAAAGGGAGCCATGTGCTCCTAAAACAAGCCATGTTCATTACTTAAGCAGCTGTTGCAAACTTTATCCCTGATCTCCTTGATAAAAGTCCTTGCTATGATCCTATATACAATTTTGTTTAGTCCTACTGAGAAGTACACATCCCACTCTTTTTCCCATTCCAATATTTTTTCCAGGAAAGAAAGAGAGGCTACTGCTGCTGTATTTAAGCCGTCCTGAGATTTTGTATAATAGGACGACATGCAAAAGCTTTTAATAGATAGATAATCCTTCCCCACTGCCCCCACAACTAGTTTCTGATGTAGTGAGAACTTAAACCCAAAGCTAGAAGCCTGAGTTGATTTCATGGAATCTGGAAAAACCTCACACTTCCTGCTCTAATTTCTTACCATGTCAGTTAAAAAAAGGGAAGAGCACAAGCCATATGACACTCTATGTATAAATGGAGAGAAGTGAAATTGGAATAACTTCTTATTTTTAGTAAGATATAATAACTGTAATGAGCATAAAGATTTAAGGAAGATGTGGATTGGGCAGTTTCTGGCAATCTGAATTCATTACTTGGATGTAAATGTAACTGTTCAGGCTTCTGCTGTTGGATCAAAATTGGACAGCCATCTTTGATCCAAGTTCCCAGTGTGCTCTGGGTTTAGTGAATATCTTATTTGGTTACATATGATCTTCAGGCCTGAATTCTGATCTTCCTTATTTGTTTTTCTACTGGTTTTGTTGTTGGTATTTATTGATGGTATTACTGTGTTCTTACTGCTAGTATCAGTTATATATGTTTTATTGTTTGCCACCTTGGGAAGATGTCTGCTGTTATTGTAGCAAACTAGATTATAAGGATTCACTCATATTCATATAAATTAATGTAAAATTGCTAATCAAACATTGTGTTTTCAGATTATGATTATATGACCTCACCTGCTGCACCTACATTTTGCACACCTGGTCTGAAAATTCCCCAAAGAAAGAACACAGATTTACCAAAATCCCCAAAGAGTAACTGTTCAGCTGCATCTAATCATGTGACAGAGAAACCGCTACCAAATACACAGTCTCTGAAAATAGAATCTAAAGTAAGCATTCAACAACTCTTTGGTAAATGTTATGAATTTCTTAATGGGACTTCCTGTCCCATACTGAATTCATAGGAAGGTTTGTGTAGACTGTCTTAACAGCAAGTATCTTAAAGTGACATCTAAACTATCTGATTGATTTTTGTATAACCAGGCTATTTTAGTACTTAAACACTGTGATTCTTGTCTCTTTTCTACAGCAAACATGTATTGCTGAAAGACCAAATAAAGATCTGATAAAAGGTGCTGCTGCATCTGTTCTGTGCTCAGATAACTATCTGGAATGTGTTGAAGAGCCCTCTCCTCCAGCAATATCAGACTACAGTAACCTATTCAGTTCACCACCACCACCACCTGAAATCACTGTGATTCCAAAACAGATTTTTCAGGTTGGATTCTTGACTTTACCTGGAATTCAGCCTTTCTTAGCAAAAATACTTTTATCTTGTTATGGGGAAAAGCTGTAAAATGGGGTGAAAGTGTGGATGTTCACATTTTTTCTTTCTTAAATTCCTTTTTAGATGTTATCAAAGTACAATCCAAACATAGCACCTAGATCTTTAGAGAAGAGGACTGATGGAAGACTTGCTATACATGAGAAAGAGCTTACTGTTGGTTTTGGGAACAAAGAAAACTGGTGAGATTTGAAAAGAGGGACATGTGTCCCTTACTTTTAAATGACTAATTCTTGTTGACTGATAGTGGAAGTAGAATATTATTAGATATTTTAGGGCTGGTCTCCTTCACATGAGAGTATCTGAGACACTCAGTTTCTTGCAATGACCTATTAGTGAAGGAGTACATCCAGGAACAGCGCTGCTGTGTTTTATTATTGTGTCTTGCTCTATGTGGGCTCTCACGCATGCTACCCCATAACATATGCACTGTTGACTTAATAACAGCAGGCTGTCTGGAAATAGCTGTCAGAAGCCCCATTTGGACTAATATATGCTGCTAATATTATTTGAAATTTAAGCATCAAGATTTAGTATGCACCTCTCAACTGAAGGCAGCAGAAGGGTAAGATGTGGAAATGGGATGTGGCCACTTGAAGACCTTATTATCCAAATTAGCCTCTGTTGGCCTAGATATCCAGATTTCTTGTAGGAAAGATTAAATTAGTAATTTGAGTTGCTAGGTAAAGAACAAATTTTCTTTACCTAGATGGATAAGATGGAGGAGGAGAATGATATAAGCTGCCTTGAGCCCTTTGTAGGAAAAAGGCAGGATATAAATAAAAAAAGTGAAGTATGAAGGCATTACTAAAATGGTAATGGTGATAATCCTCTATTATCCTGTACAAACACAACAAATATGGCTTACTTCAGAGTGCAAATATATAAGAAGGAACTTAGTTGTCTTTTAAAGAAAGCCTCTGGGCTGCTGCCAGCAGAGCTGGAGGAACAATGGGCAGTTTTCATCTCTCTGTTCTCCTTTTAAATGCATTTCAACCCAACTGGAGAGAGAGCATACTGAAGGGGCTGTAGGATTTCTCATTTTCTATATATTGTATTTATAACCCCTTTTTTTCTTACGAGAAACCTAAGGTAGCTTAAATAGGTCCACTTTATCCTCACAATAGTTCTGCAAGGTAGGTTAGGCTGAGACTGCCCCAGTCACCCAGTGAGCTTTATGGCTGAATCAGGACTAGAACCCAGGTCCACAGTCCAGCAGTCTAACCACATACCTTATGGCTGACACTGGTATTTTGACATCCTCTCCCTCCATTCTTTACCCACCAGAACACCTTTTTCCATTATTCTGAGGTGACATTTGTGACCTGGGGAAGCAGCTAGTATGATTCTTTCTGTTGTGGGTGTGAGGAGTCCTTCTCCAGAGGTTGTAGCAGTGGTTCCCAAGGATCATAGGATTGGTCCCTTAGACTTATTTTAAACTGAAGATGACTGCTCATCACAAAATGAGCACATCCAGACTTATTTCAAGAGATGTTACACAATCTTGGCTGAAGATGGTACCAAGATTATAATTGATTTTTTCCACTCTTCCATTTACAGGAAGCATTCTGAATGAACTACACTAGACTACCTGATTTTGTTGGGGCTACCCTCTTCCAAACTGTTTAGAAAAAAATAACTACACAGGAAAACACCTGAACAGAATAATTTCCTTTGAAACCATGTGAGAACAGGTTCTTCTGAAACTGTGTTCTCTCTTCACTATAAATTTGTTAACATTTAATGAAGAATATAAAATAAAAATAGCTGCATTTTATCTATATGTTTCAAACTCAGCATTATGCTATATGCTAACGTACTGGCACATTGTTATTCTACTTGGAGCATAAGTTTATGAACATTTAAACTGAAAAAGTCCCACAAATCACAACATCCCTCAGTCAGCCAGTTATTTTACATTTTAGAATGGTCACTTTGAGGAGAAAATGGAGTGACCAGGAGGCTCAGAGCCACCAAATCCTATTTGCCATAGCCATTTCCCCTTCTATACACCTCTTTCCTCTGTGCTGGGAATCACAGAATCATAGAAGAGCTGGAAGGGGCTAGAGGGCCAACTGGTGCAACCTCCTGCTCAGTGCAGGAGTCCCAGTTAAATCATCCTTCTCAGATGGCTGTCCAGCTGCATCTTGAATGCCTTTAGTGCAGAAGAGCCCACAACCTCCCTAGGTTGTCATTCATGTCATACTGCTTTAACCCTCAGGAAAATTGTCCTGATATTTAGCCAGAATCTGGCTTCCTGTATCTGCCACTGCATTCCCACAGTCCATCAGGGAGGTTACCCAATTAAAAAGAATGAAATCAGACTAGTCTGCCAGGATTTGTTCTTCAGAAATCCATGTTGACTTCTAGTAATCACTCAAAGTATGATATGATTTTCTCAAAACTCCACCTGACAGTGTGCTATTTGCCCACTGGCAAGTATTCCTCTCATACATGTGGGAACAATCTTTGTTATATCTCTAATCTTCCCTCCAGGGAGACAGCATACCTGGAAAAGTCCATGGGTCTTCCTGACATACACGTGCTTCCATCCCATGCAACAGGGGGTCTCCTACAACTAACACTCTTGCAGTTCTTCTGCAGCAGGCTGCCCTCCAGTCTCATCGCCCAGTAACTGAAAGCAGTTCGAGAGTTCTACTGCTTCCACTGGTACAGCTTTAATTCTAGTTCTTCTGTACCTGTCACCCTTTTCCAGAGAATTTCCTCATTTTTCCTTCTCTCAGGATTCTCTTCTGCTTCAGCTGGCTGTTGCACTTCTTGCTTCCACACTGCTTCTAAAAACCCTTAATCTTTTATTTTCTTAAAGGTGGCATTCACTGCTCTAGTGTTCTCATCTTTCCTCTAGCAGGACCACTAGCTTTCACTTCTTGCACATGTACACTATGTTGACCTCAGGCAGGAAAACAAACAATGTGCTGGCATTGCACGTAACCACCACTGCAGTGTCTTCCTGGTTCAATCTGCCTGCTGCCTTTTTGATTCTAGCTTACTGGGCCTCATGTAATACAAAGTGCTTCATGCTGTCTTCCCTGAAGGCACAATCCTACCAGTAAATGGGAGTGTTACCAGGAAGAAAACGACCGGTGGGCAGGGGGGGGGACTAAGGGAGAAAGGGTGTAAAAAGGTTTTGAAAAGTTAAGTACCTCCCCCACAGACAAATTCTTGCTTGCTCACCCTGGTCTCCAGCTCTGGTCGTTCACTCCTTGGGAGCTTGGCTGTCTGTATCTCAGGAGTCCCTAGACCAGCTGGGTCAGCTTCCTCTGATCTGCTCAGTTAAGAATCAGAAACCAGAATGTGGAATGTGAAGAGCTCATTCTGTTTAGAGGTCTAGATTTGCCCCTAAGGTCACTCATGTTGGAAATAATGTTGCTGAATGCTGTTCTTAATGCCATAAATTGCATGTGTGTAACTCAGCTGACATTTTTAAAAGGGTACACAAAGTTACAATCCCATTCATGTTTAGACAGAAAAAAGCCCTACATTTTGGAGTTGTAGGACTTTGTATCGGTTTTTAGAAAATCGTACCTGTAAGGTATTAAATAGCTAAGATCTTGTGGATTTTTATTTTTTATATTGGGACTTGTTAAAAATCAGATGACATAGAGGGAAGTATTGAAAGAGATACCATTTCTCAGTGGTCATTGAATAAGCCACCTTTTAAAGTGTGTGTGTTTGTGGGGGGGGGGACTTTGAAGCATTCTCAAGCAGAAACCAATCTAAGGACTAGAATGTTTTGTCTTCTGAAATGCAGGCCTATAACTGATTTACATTAGTATTAGCAACCTTTGTGCCAAATGTTCGTGTCATTTCACAGACTAAGGATATTAGTATCCCACCTTCATACTGGCCTTGCTAATCTGGAAAATAATTTATTTTCTCCATCGTCTGTGCAGGGAAGTTGGGATGATGGAAGTATGGGTACAATGTGGCCTTTTCTAGCTATATGCATTGACATGTTTTCCTTTTGATAAGTTCCCCTTTAATCACAACCTGAAATAAGACATTAAAGGTCTCCTCTCCCTGTAACCCTCTGATGTTTTATGCTATGCCCTGTTTAGGTTGAAGGACTTCTTAATCTTTTTGGTTTTCCAAATGGCAAGGGTCTCTCCTCCTGCCCCAGCAACGTTACATTCTTGATATGCGTGAGTTCAGCCTATACCTGGGCTAAAGAACATGTGGCCCTCTAAATGATGGAATAAAGCAACCAGCCATCACCAATAGCTATACTGGCTATTTGTAGTAATTCTACACACAATGCTATGGATCCAAAGCCCTTTTAAAATCTTCGTATTAAACATGGAAAGCTAAAAATGTCCACAGTTTTGTTATAGGCAAAAAGCTAACATTATAACCTAAAGTCATGTTCTACAGTTAAATACTGACAATCTTTTCATCTCCATAGGAAAGTTACATTGCTAGTCACATTCAGACTATGTCATCCACTGTAATGTCTAGACAAGCTCAAAAGAGCAAGCAAAAAACAATAAAACTTCAGTTTCTCTCTCCTTTTAACAATTTAGTGCTTTTGATTGTCAAGAAACAGTATTGTGGTCAGCAAAGGTTTTTTTTTACGGGTCTCCTACAAACTCTTAATTTTGTTCAATTAATTTGCCTCATTTCAGACTTTTTCCCCTGAACAAGACAACACTCTGGAATGGACCCTGGTAGGCTGTCTAAAAGAAGTCTGAGTTTTCTATTTAAAGCAAGGACATACAACTTCACGGGTTCTCCTGCAGACCATACTGCTACTACCACAGAAAGCAATTTTTAAAACTACATTTCTCCCTTTTCACTACCTGTTGTAGTTTAAATTGACTAATTTTTCTGTATGTGGCATGAATTTCAGATAATCAGCCACTCAAAAAGTCTAGGGGTTAGGAACTACATATTGCCCAGCCCTGATATGAAGAATAATTTTATACTAATAACCATGGGTATGTCTTCAATGAGTTGTAGCTGAAAAATTGCAATAAATAACCTCCTTGCTTCATCAAAGCATAGAATGACACTCACTGCACTACACATGTTAGAATTTGTGGCTAACTAGTGCAAGAATGTCAAACTTTTTTCAGTCCAAGGGTCAAATTCAATTTTGGAAATATTTTTAAGGACTGCAGTGGGCAGGGTTGAAAATAAAGGCAGTAGGACCAAAACTACTACTGTCAGGCACTGGGTTTCAGAAGCATTTCAACTTTTTAGGACTGGGGGGAAAACATTTTGGAGCAAAAGCGGGCAAACTATCAAGAATGAGATTAGGAATCGCATACTAAAGGAAGAGAGCAGCAAAGGACCGGATTTGCCCCCTAACTTGAGGTGCAACTTCCCTGAATTACCATATACTGAACACAGCTTAACACTGGTCATCAAAAATTCTTATTCTAGACCACTGATCAACACTGATTAGCAGCTTTTGTACTTACCAGATGCAAACTGAATGTACATCTAGATTATTTTCTGCAACATGCACAGTTGAACATATCTACACAGTACCTGAAGGACTGTCACATAACAGAGGGGGAAAGACCAGAATGCAGAACATGATTTCATGGATTTAAGCTACACTGGGACACATTATCAACTGACCATCAAGAGATGCATCAGGATGTAGACCAACTACATAGCAGGGTGGTGGAACTCTTCATCAGAGGTCTTCAAACAGATACTTCTTGGATCAAGCAGGGTTGGTTAGACTAGAAATCTTAGAAGTCCTCCTATTTCAATGTTTTGAGATGTAGCATACTATATATTCATTGTTTATTTACAAATTACAGCAGCACTGGCAACACTTGCTTCATTTACATTTTGATTTATTTCATAATAAATCTCAACAATATTCTAATGAAATAAGTATACTACCTTGGTTTAGTCTTGCCACATACATTAATGGTTGGTCTTAATACATTTGCTCCATAAAAGGTTTCAACAATGCAAAAGACTACTTGTTATTATGGCCAGGCTTTAAACACACTGGAAACACTGGGCAGTCCCATTTTCAGCTAACTAAAGAAATAACTCTTAACTGCTAGCAAGCACTCTTCTAAACAATAAACCAGTAACATCATTTAAAAAACAATTTCAGTACTTCTCTGAACTAGGGATTTTGTCACCCCCACCCTTGAAATGCTTCTAAGTCTCCAAATTGTAGAGGCTTATATGCTTCCAATACACAACATAGTGTAGCTGCAGCAATTTTCAATGCCATGCTCCCATTCTGCATTTCATTTAGACTGCCATTTTCAACTGTACAGATGAAGCACCACAGAGGAAAGAGACTGGGGTGCCATTTTGGAAACTCCATGGCCAACCCCAGACTCTTCCCCACCCACCATGCCCCTCCCTCTGCAAGACTTTGTAAACTCAGAGAGGCAGCTGGTACTGTCCTTTCTGTACCATCTTCAAGAGGGGTAGTGCCAGGGCTTGGCATTCAGAATCACAGCACCAGTGTCACAGGACTTCAGAGATGAGACTCCAAATGATTTTATGGCCTCCCCTTATATCAGGAAGCCATAGCTTTACATCCTTAGTGAACTTTCTAGTATTCTCATTTTACAATTTTAAAAGGAGGCTTTTCTAATCAACATGACAATGCAGATGGTGTGGTCCTTGGAAGAAAGCAAAAAATTAATATGGTCTCATGCGACCTGATGGAGGTGGTGCTCGATTTGGAGGAGTAATTGCAATGTCAAGGTAATCCCCTATTTGAAACTTTTGTGACTGCAGAGTCATAGAATCATCTGTGCCCTTTCTGCCTGACATTGTACTGCCAATCTCTTTCACCCTGTAGAAAGAAATGAGATGCATGTTATTAGCCTTCAGATAACCAAGTTACTTCCAAGAAAAAACATATTTAATTTAGACCATGTATTTCCTTACGTTGAGGGAGATTCTTGTCCTCTCTAGCCCCATACAGTCTACTCTTGGGTGACAGCAGATCTCTAAACACTGTAAAGCAGAGCTCTATTGCCCAAGGTCCTTTCTAAGTGGGAGTCCATGTATATCCTGGGAGATTACACATGTCCTAAGCTGTGGCTTACTCCCTAATAGTTTCTTCCACCATCCTGAGACTTTTGTATAGGACAGGATAGAAATGTTCCAAATAAATAATAAATATAAAATGCAGCATTGGCATGATCCCCTTATCCCCATTTAGAAGAACTCATGTCCTACTGAACTTAGGCACTTTAGATTCAGTCCTAAACACACTTCATTTCATGTGTTGCTATTTCCATATTAATCCCTATACCAGTTAAGTTTATTCTGTGATGTACTGAAGAAACTTTCAAACCACTATTCAAACAACTGCAGAGACAGTTGGGAAGCATACAAAGCACAACTGGAAAACATACAAAGCAGAGCTCAAGATGTGGTCAAAAGATTGCATCATCTTACTATTCTAAGTAGCCCTACCACTAAGCAGCTATTTAAAAACCAAAGTTCTCAAATCCCAGCAAATCCAAGTGTAGCCAGTTGTATTTTATTTATTTATTCAGGATATGTTTATCCCATCCTATACATTGTAATTTATGCTAGTATCTTTGGCCTATCTTTTGACTTTGATCTAGCTTGTGCCCTCAGCAACGCCTACCATAGGAATGTGGGCTCTAAGTCCTTCTCTGAAATGAAATTTGACCCTCAGGCTGAAGAAGGTTCTGCACCTCTGCTATATATGCACAACCAAAGATGTGAAAAGCTAGTTTAAGATTTTCAATATATGATACCTCTGAGAATTTAATTACAGTTTTAAGATCTTACTACTAATAGTGTAGTCCTGCTATCCAATTGACAGTATTACCTGTAACCAGGCCTTTTAAGATCTGTGAAAACTATTGCAAAGTTGAAATGTGTGCCCTTCTTCCTTGCTTCTGGATAGACTTCTTTAACTAAACTGGTCAGTTCTTTCAGAGTTGCATCCATCCTGGAAGAAATGGATCAAACAGCATTATAGGCTGGATAAGTCAAAGTTCTTAAGGGGCAGTAAACTAAACAAGAGTTCTGCATCAAGAAATATGTTTCATATTAGAGATTTCACAGATGCCTGAATGATTTTTAGCTTTACCCAACTTCTTCAGAGTTTGTTTCATATGGGATAGGAAACTGTGGTTTTGGGCAGTGCCCACTGTCCCCATGAAGGAACACACAAACAGATTTGGATGGCACTATGGAAAGCAGCCATTTCTCCCATTGCTGTCCGAGTCCCTTGACATCTGCATCCCCACTATTATCTCAAGTGTCCGATCAGAGATAACAGCAAGGATTCTTCCAGGGGACAGGGCTTGAAGGCCATGTCTCACCCTGTAGATGAATCCAGAGGCTTTGTGGGCCAAATAAGAACTCCCGCCAACACACACCCATGGTATACAGGAATGGAACATGTTCAGTTTGGAAAACAAAAAATACTGTTTTATTGTTCATATGTTGTCCCTATCTTCATGTATGTTTTTAACCTTCAACTTGTTAACCACCCTGAGAGCCTTTGGTAATTTTATAAAATAAAAAAATGCCCCAGGGCACAGACACCATTCAGTGGGGGAGATACCATACTGCAGGCTACAAAAAGTGAAATAAACTAAGTTGCAAGGGACTTAGCAAGAGGGTTAAGAAATTGTCCATAATGTGATGTCAGGATAATTTCCTAAAACAAATCTTTTATGTTCTGCTTCAGATCATTCCCAGAAAAGGTGGCAGAGGCTCTGTACCCTGACTATGCAGCAGAAATACCAAAATGTCATTAGTTGTTATTCTGCCTTTTATCTAGGTTTTACACACACAGAGCCTTACTCAGTTAAGTAAAAGGACATGGTAACTCAATGTCTGCAATCAGGCTAGAATTGACAGTTGTGTGTGTGGATCACTGCCACTCACCAGGTATAGATCTGCAGCTCGCTGGAAGGCACATTTCCACGGGCAAACTCATCCATTCGATGATGGCGCCCATTGTTGGTAGTGAAAACCCTCAGCAAGAGAGGGCAGGTCTGCAAAGCAAATAATGGGCCATTCATTCATAACCAGTTAAGAAGGATGAAGCAGTCTACATCACCCCTTCAGGGGTAATAGTGCATGTTATAGTATTCTAGCTTAGGACTTGCCATGGATAAGCAGTAGGAAGAAAAATATTGTTTTTAACAGTGCAATCTCTCCTTCCCGGGTGGGCGAGATCTGTGACACAGCCATCCATGCCTCCAGAACCCTGCTGGTTTGCACCAGCCAACACAGAAGGTGAAAAAGGGGGAATACTGTTATTTACACTTTTGTTCAGGGTTTTCAATGTTATGGTTCCCCTTTCAATGATCACCATAAGAATTAAGTTCAACAGCTTCAATGATGAAGTACTCTTGAAAGCACTTTGGGCAAACATCCAAGGAAAAATAGGGCTCCAGATACCCCCATGGCTGGCTCCTCCATGTGGAGAACCACCAGCATAGCAGCAATTGCAGAGAAACTTTCCAACAGCATCCTTAAGGTGGTTTCCAATTGCAAGCCTTGCTCTGATCTGAGCCCTCCTTCTCTGTAACAGAAAGGGGAGACTTCAGCTGCCTTTTGCAGGAGATTAGGCTGGCTCCTGGGACAAAGAATCAGGGATAAAATATAATATGGGATGGAATTACTCTACCTTTTTCACCATCTGACTCTTGTTAACCACCCAGAAATCCTTTGGCTATTGGGCAATACAAAAATGAAATGAAATAAACAGTGATAAATCTTCTAAGCAAACATTCTAAAAGATCAATTTATTCCAAAATTTTGATTATTGGATTAGCACTTTTTTTTGCAACTTATGACATTCTTATGTGTTTGTAACATATGGGGGGGGGAAGCTCTATCAATACTTAACAGTTATGGATTTTTCAGGTTTTTATATGATTATATTTTATAACAAAAACTAAGCCCACAAAGTCATGATATCCATATCAGTTGTTTATTGCACAACAGTTTACTCTACAGATCAGTGTTATGTTTTCACCATGCATCTTCATATGTATTTCTTTAGTAATCACTTTCATACCTACTTGTGCAAGCTTGTATTTGCATAACCCTAACAGAAAAGGCTACCAAATCTTACCTTTCTTATGAGATTCTATCCTATGTTATGTCAAAAGAAAACAAACAACAACTTAAGCCCTCTACTGGAAACTTTTTCTGAAAAAAATTAATTAGCACAAGCGTTCCCAAATTTTCAAGTACCAGTGAGACACTACTCTAAAAGCGAATGTCTCAGGCAAGCATTTAGAAATACAAGCAACATGTGGGCTCATCAAGAAGGCTCCACTTGGCTCACTTAATGATTTGCAGATGTGCATGGGTCACTGAAGATAGTATGCATATACCGCTTCTCACAAAAGACAGCTGTTGCGTGGTGCATTCGTAAACGAGCCCTCCCTGCGGAGTATAATCTTGCAAACGCAATGTACTATTGATAATGCGTAATGTGTGAACGGTTCTCCTTGACCCCGTTCTCCTCCCCTGCCATTCCCAGCTCCTCCCTTTACCTTCTCACGATCGATAGGCTTTTCGGGCTCTTTCTTAATCTCCTCCTGAGTAACGCGAGACTCCACCGCCATCTTGCCGCCGCCTCAACTCAACAGCCGTGAAATTCAATCCTGCGAATCGGTTTGAGAAAAGAACCAGAACTCCAGAGCAGAGGAATGAGACTACCAGCGTCTCTACCCGCTTTTAGTCCTAACACGTTCACCTCTTCCTTTCTCTTCTTTCTCAGAAACTGATCGAGAGGCCAAAATTACCGCTCCCGCCTCTTCGTACTCCACAGAGCAAGATGGCGGCGCCCACGAAAGTCCAAATTAGCTGGGAACCGTGTGACGCAACTCTCGCGACATCTGAGTTCTCTCGAGAAATAGCGAAGCTTTGTCGAAGTAGCCAATGAGGAGCTGCTTTGTGGACGAAATTAAAGCTTGAGGCGGGGAATGAGGGCGGGAGAGTGAGGATGTAAGCCCAAGCGCGTTTAGCGAGAGAGATTCCAGCATTCCTTAGTGGCTTACATGGCTCTGCGGGGATGCGGGAGCCCAAGCAAATATAGGCGTGCACTGTTGTGGGACTGAGAAGACGAGTGACTCTGGAGGGGAAGTGGTGGTCTTATGTGGGTACGACTCTTGGCACGTAGCAACAAGGATAAAAGTAGTTTTTGAAAGATTAGCTTTGATAGGGCTCTGTATGCTGCAGGGAATATCAGATTTGCCAGTTGAACATTTACCCATTTTAAAAGTATGTTTACATATATGGTATGTAAAGAACAGGTTTACTAGATCCCACCTACAAGGGGTGTGCAGTCCAACGTAGTCACGGAAGAAATATTAAGAAATCGAGGCGGAGAGAAACGGAAAGGATATGTAATTATTTCAGCTGCTCGGATTAGTTAACAATGGGATATTGTTTGTGCTAGCTGGTTGGTCTAGAAACTTTACAGAAAGGTACACAAACACACACAGGGTTCACTCCTATGCATTGGGAGGCAGAAAAAAGCTTTCTAATTCTCAGTATCTTTCAGCCCTAAATTGATTCTCACAACAAAAACTTAATAGTTGCATGGGAATACATATTGAAGCATCAGTGTAATTGCTTCTGGAAACCACAGTCCAAAGCAGTGAAACATCTACATCTTGTGGCTAGTTCTGTAGAATGAAATTCCTTGACTATACAATTGTGCAGCTGTGGAGAAATCCTATGGATTCTGCACATAATTAGCTTGGTGTATCCTACAGTGTTGTTAATAGATTACTAAGAAAATGCACTGGTAGTAAATAAATACTAATATTAGCACTGGGAAGCACTGAGAATTAAAGCAATTCACATCTTATTGTGTAATTTAGCTTTGCTGATACTATGCTTCTCTTGGATTAGCAAAGTGTCAGGATTTGGATCTCAGCTGAGTTCATCCATCTGGGATTCGACTTGGATCAGGTTTTGAAGTGAGTGGAGAAAAAGTATACCCACAAAGGTTTTGTTTGTGTTGGTTTGGTTTTGAAGTCTGAGAGTTCAGCACTAGTTCTGTTGATAGTGTAGTAAATTCAGCCAGCAAATCCACTGTGCAGTAGGGTAAGTGATATGACAGAGTTATAATGGGTGTGGTCATATATAACTAAACAAAGCCATATAGTTTCTGCATGGGAGGAATCTCACCTTCTGTTGTGCTTTCACATATCTGCCTGTTATCAACTTATGAATCATTTCCACCCTTCCATAATCTCTCCAAATGGTGGCACGGATCCTATCAGCCCTACAACTGGGACTCAATCTCAGGGTGTACTGCTCCTGCCTTCCCTTCCTGCCTCTCTGCACTGGTCTATATACTTCCTTGGGCATGTTCTTAGCCAGCTCCCCGCTTTTTGTTTTTTGTTTCCTGCTGCTTCACAGAACCACTCATTACCCCACTGCTGCCACACTCTGTGCCAGAGCGTAAGCACACACCCACACCTCTCCCCCTCACCAACCGTGGGCCAAACACCTACCCAGCTTTCCATGTGCAAGATGTGCACATGTTGCCAGGGCTGCCTCCCCCTCCCCCCGCATACAAAGTGCAGCAACACCAGCACTGGTGCCAGGGGCAGAGGGAGGATCCCTGCTGGCCGCCCTTTCTCAAGGATGCCCATATGGGCATCTGCCTGGGAAAGTATCTGTGCAAGGCTTGAGGACTGCATTTGTCCCACCGGGGGTGGGGGTGGGCAAAGCGGGGGACATGGGTTCAGGATAATTGCCCTGATGGCAATACCGACATACTGCCCACTCACCATGTGAAGGGCAGCCATCATATGAAGAGCCTGCTCTCTGTGGTACAGTGGGGATGACTGTAACCCACAAGGTGTACTGAAGGCTTCCAAACTGAAAGACCTTGAAAAGGGATTGAACAAATCCATGAAGGAGAGTTTTATCAGTGGTTATGTTATATTATTATTACATTATATTTCATTGACATTGGCATGTATATCCTGCCTTTTCTCCTCTTGCAAAGAACCCAAAGCAGCTTACATTCTTCTTCATTCTATTTTTAACCTTACAGTAGCCCTGTGAGGGAGGTTAGGCTAAGAGTCCATGAGTGGCTCAAAGTCACTGAGTGAGCTTCATGGCCAAGTGGGAACTAGAACACAGAGCTCCCAAGTACCCAGTCCTTTTCTCTAGCCACCATGCCACATATGCTTCCTCCAGTACCAAAGCAGTAGCCTATGTTCAGCAGTTGCTGTGGAACATGAATAGGAAGGTACCACTGCATTTATGTCCAGTTTCTGAGGTTCCTACAGGCGGCTGGCTGGCCTCCATATAACAAGAATACTTGACTAGCTTGTCCTTATTCAGATGCAACATGGCTTTCCTTATGGTCATAAGTGTACCAAAGAGGACAAAAGCTGTTAAGAATGTATGCACATACACACAAATAAAACTCTTACATATTTCACCTTACAGTCTTCCCCGAGGGCAGGGGTCGGCAACCTGCGGCTCCGGAGCCGCACATGGCTCTTGAACTCCTCTGCTGCAGCTCCGACGCTCAAAACATGCGCCGGCACAGCTGCTGATCTGCTCGAAGCTCCACTCAGGAACTCAGCCTTAGCTAGTTAAGTAAATCGTTACATTCCTTTGCTAAACAAGCTTCCTGCAGGTTCTCATGTTACACAAAATGCTGCTGAAAAGATTCTCTTTGTCCCAATGTAATCTTCATCTGAATGTTAAAAGCTGCGCTTGGGACCTGTCACAATTCACAGCACTTCACTGTTTATCTGCTAATCAGTCGCTAAACACACCTATATCTCCCATCCACGCCAATTTACTGAGCTCCCCCCCACACACACACACTCCATAGGCCAACCATGGATAAATTGAAGAAAAGAAAAGTTTCTGAAGAAAACCAAACAGTTAATGATATGTGGGTAGATTCATTTGCTTTTACTGCTGACGAACTTATGGGGTTTGCTGTTTAATGCATGCAGCCCTTTAGCACTGAATTTGACTCTTCAGGAAGCTGTTCTATTCAAAATATATGAGAGGAGTCCTACTAGTTTATAATGTAAGATTAAAAATAACAGTTTTTTGTGACTGAACAAGAGCTGCAGCTAAATCATAATGAAGATATACATAGCATTAAGGTAAAAAATGTTATACTGTATTTAGTGTTATCTTCATTTTAGATTTCAAAAGGGTTTTATGGCTCCCGGTGTTTTCTTTTGTATGGGAAACAGGTCCAAATGGCTCTTTGAGTGTTAAAGATTGCCGACCCCTGCCTGAGGGTCATAAAAATAGCTACGAATACCAATCAAATGATTAGAAAATGTGTTTGGGGCGGGGGGGGGAGCTATTGGGAGCCTCTCTGGGTCAATCTCTAGGATTGGTACCTGTTGCACTTTGCCAACAGGTGACTTCTCAGCTATGATGAGCTGTCATGTACTGACTTGCTGGATCATGGTCTACCTACTCTGCCATTCTTTGCAAGAATCTCAGCAACCACAGGGCAACAAGCTATCTACCAGGAAAGTAGTCTTGCATGGATTATGTTTTCTTTTTATTAGTTAATGGGCCATGATCTACTGTCTCTCCAATCATGTTTTGTTAAGGTGAAAAAGAGATACTGCAGAATGTGATCTTGGCTCATTTTCCTGGTTTGTTAAAGTTAAACCACAGCTCCCCAGTTTGGACATACCTGAAAACTCTGGCTTAATACAAGCCAGGATCTTTGCATCAAAGCCAGTACATGACAAGAAGAGGGAGGAGAAAGAAATGCTCAAGCCCAATGCTTGTTCACAGATTCATAAATTGGGTTTATTGAGCCTCAGATTATCATTTGACTCAATCCACTATGTTTTAATACTATAATTGACTGGCCTATGCAATGTATTTTATTGTGCCCATGAACATTTTACAGGAAGATTAATCTGTGAAGCAGATACTGCCAGTGTTTATATGCTAATTGAAAGAATTGGTTTTTAAAAAATAAGACAGCCATACTAGCTAGAAACAGCTAGATGTTTCAGATGTATTGAAAACCCATTGGTTTAAAAACCTCTGCTGTAAATTGTACAACATGATGTGCAAACCAAGTCTGATGGATTGTTTAAAGGCTAAACAACCCAGCAATAAATCCCGAACAACCCAGTGGTTCATGTTTGGATGTTGCACTGTGCAGTCTACAAAGTCAATAGTCATGGATCCTGTGATAAGCAGAACAGGCAGTCCCAGCAACCTATTGGTTATGATTCTTTATGTTTGTATTTGTTTTGTTTAGATACTGCCCAATAGTCAAAGCTCTCTGGGAAGTTTACAACAGTTCAAAAAATAAGACAATCAATGCCATAAAATATTTTCAATAATACAAACATTTGAAACAAACATTAGAAAAATACTGAACATATATAATGAAGAATAGCCCTGTAAAACACCTGGGATAGATAATCCCCTGAAGTCCTTGGATATCCAAGTGTACCTTTAAAAGTCTTGGGACAAAATGCTTTAGTAACCAGGCACCAAAAAGGTGACACAGTTGGTAACAGGCAGGACTAACTTGGGAGGTTAGTTGTTAGATGTTGGGAGGTTGTAACTCCATAGATGAGGGCCACCACGGAAAAGCCCTCCCTCTTGTTGCTGCCCTCCAAACCTGCTTCAGGGCTGGCACATGAAGGAAGGGTCCATATATTGAAACTAGGTGATTGTGATAGAGAGAGGCATTTCTTCCAATGTTATGTTCCCAAGTCCTGTAAGATATGTAAGGCTTTATAGGTTAAAACCAGCATCTTAAATTGGGCCTGGAAGCATACATGGAGCCAGTGCAGGCAGACCAGA